TTATCATTGGAACTGATGTTTGACTTTGCTTAACTATGTGAAAGGTGTTTAGTATTACCTGTCAGGCTGCAGTCCATGGGGTCACAAAGAGTGGGACACAACTTAGTGCCTGAACAACAGCGTTAGGTGATTTCTTTACAGACTTGTAAAGAAATTTCATATATACATACCATGGAGGGAAATCACCAATAAAGTTGATTTGCAGATGTAGTTTTTCTCCATGTAAAATGGTAATGTCTACTTGATAGGTTAAAATAAGGGAGTTTTTTGTTTTTTTATTTAATCCATGGTGTTTTATTTTTATATATAATACTTTTAGTTCTAAATATATGACTGCTGGGAGCTTTTAATCTGTATCATGTATGAGATATGAAGAATTAGAAAAGTAATTTGGAAATTGAATTGAGAATATTACTTTAAGTAGACACTTAAGTGCTGCAATTTTGTTGTTAAAATTATGATGTTAAAAATACATTTAGGGACTTCCCTGTTGGTCCAGTGGCTGTAAGACTATGCCTTAGCAATGCAGGGGGCCTGGGTTTGATCCCTGGTCAGGGAACTATATCCGACATGCTGCAAATAAAGAATCCTGCATGCTGCATCTAAGACCTGGTGTAGCTAAGTAAATAAATTAAAAACAATTAAAAAGAAAAAAAATGAGAAGACATCTCCTGGTTTCCCATATGTAAAAACAAAACAAGCAAACGAGAAACAAACAAAAAAAATTTGACTTGAACATGTCTATGTGTGTAGTCTTTAGAACTTAGAAACTACTTTAAAATTTTGCACATCTCATAGTTTTTAAATCTTAATTTTTTTTTCTATTTCGAGGATAGAACAATTTATAAGTATTCCAAAATAGAAATGTTATGGGATATTTTTAAAATAACTATTTCTCCAATCATAACATCTTTCTTTGCCTCTATGCTTTACTAGTGCATGCCTTATTATCCTCTTTGGAGTATCAGTATCAGAGAACATGTTATGTATCTAATCAGGGACATGTAACCTCCTCCAAATACTGGCCAGCTTTTGAAATAGTGCAGATATTTGATGATAGAGCTATATTACAAATGAAATTCCAGGATGTCTAGGAATGGTGCCTCAGGTGAAGGAATGTAGACTATGTAAACTCCACACTGAGAAAAAAGTTGAGCCATTTGTTATCATGTGGTAAGCAAGTGTTCTGTCAGAACTGTATAAAATTGAATATACGCTATCAGTGGAATGCCAACATACTAGTAGAAAATACAATGAGAAAAAGGTAACATGTTTACAAAAGCAGCAAAGAGAATAAAGTGTCTAAGAATAATCTCAATTGAAGTACATTTGGCTTCTCTGAAGAAAATTATGTAACTATAGAATTACATTTACAATCAAACCATATTCTCTGTTTTTTTTAGGGGTTTATAGATATGATATTGGTAGATGACAAGATATGATCTTGGATGGAAGTATATATGTTTTAAAGATATCAGGGCTTTTAAAGTGATGTCTAATGCCACCACTTCAGTCCAAATCTCAGGAATTTTTCTCTCCCCTTGATTTACAATCCTGAAGAATAATTAAGAAAACCTGAATGTACTAGGTATCAAAATAGAATTATTTTAGTCCTTTCAACCCACAATTATAGATCTACATGCTCAGAAGGTGAATTTAGACCTTCATGTCATGTCAGACACAGAGATTAACAAAATGGATCACAGACATAAATGTTAAGAGCTAAATTACACAGTTGCTAAAGAAACATACAAATTCTCAGTCACTGTTGGTTTTGTAGAGGTTTAAAGAGTTACCAAAAACGTGATCCATTAAAGAAATTGCTGACTTGGCATTTCATCAAAATGAAAGACTTCTTTTCTTTTTAATTTTATTTTAATTGGAGGGTAATTGCTTTACAGAATTTTGTTGTTTTCTGTCAACCCTCAACATAAATTAGCTATAGCTATAGGTATATCCCCTCCGTCTTGAACCTCCCTCGCATCTCCCTCCCCACCCCACCCCTCTAGGTTGATACTGAGCCCCTGGTTGAGTTTCCTGAGACATACAGCAAGTTTCTGTTGGCTATCTGTTGTGCATATGGTAATGTAAGTTTCCATGTTACTCTCTCCATACATCCTACCCTCTCCTCCCTTCTCCCCATGTCTGTACGTATGTTCTCTATGTCTGTTTCTCCATTGCTGCCCTGCAAATAAATTCTTTGGTACCATCTTAAAATGAAAGACTTCTATGCTTCATAAGACACCATTAAGAAAATGAATATATAAGAGCTTTTATAATTCAACACCAAAGTCCAAGTTAAACATGAACGAAAAATCTGAATAGATATTTTGGCACAGTGGCTAATAAGCATTTGAAAAAAATGCTCAACACTATTAGTTATTATAGAAATGAAAATTAAACCACAATAAGATACTACTATATATGCACTGCTGCTGCTTCTGCTGAGTCCCTTCAGTCGTGTCCGACTGTGCGACCCCATAGACGGCAGCCCACCAGGCTCCCCTGTCCCTGGGATTCTCAAGGCAAGAACACTGGAGTGGGTTGCCATTTCCGTCTCCAATATATGCACTAGAACAGTTATAATAAAAAAGAGACAATAATAATTCATGGCAAAGATGTAGACAAACTGGAGCCTTCATTTTCCTGGCAAGAATGTGAAATTGAACAGTCACTTAGGAAAACAATTTGGCACTTCATTAAAATGCTAAACATAAATTTATGATAGTATTTAGAAATTGCATTCCTAGGAATTTACCCAAGAAAAATGAAATCACATGTATACATGAAGTACATACATTTATTTATAATAGTCAAAAGTGAGAAAAATTTAGGTGTCCATCAATAACAGAAGAATGGATAAACTGTGATATATTCATATGATAGGATACTTACTCAGCAGTAAAAATGAATGAACTATTGATATTCCATAAAGATGAATAAATCACAAAATAAGTATGCTTAGCGAAATAAGCCAGATGTGAAAGTGTCTATAATGTATCACTCCATTTATATTGAGCTTTTGAAAATACAAATCAATCCATAATGACAGAAAGCAGGTTAGTTGTTGTAGGGGTGGTTCAGTCGGACACACGCTCAGTCGTGTCTGACTCTTGCCACCCCATGGACCATAGCTCACGAGGCTCCTCTGTCCATGGGATTTCCCAGGCAAGAATAGTGGAGTGGGTTGCCATTTCCTTCTCCATGTTGTAGGGGTGTAGGGATGCAGATAGAGGGATGGTGAGTGACTGAAATAGGGCTTGTGGGATCTTTTTAGGGTATTGGAAATATTTTAAAACTGAACTGAGGTGATGGTTATGCTTCATGAATGTACTAAAGCCAGTGAAATGTACACTTAAAGTGGATGAAATTTTAAGCTCTCAATATCATTTTTATTGGCAAATTCTTATCTCAAGCATATCTTAGAAATTGTTGGCTGCCCTTTAGACAGGTGGTAGTAATGAAGAGAAAAGAGTATTTTAAAAAAGATAGTTTAGCCCTAGATTTGTGGAAAATATAGCAAGAGAAGAAATGGAGCGTAACTTTTATCTTATTTTTGTTTAACCGTCATAACCAGTTTAAAGGGTGCAGTTCAGTAGTTTTAAGAATATTCACATTGTTGTGAAATGGATCTCTGGAACTTTTTCTTCTTGCAATCTGAAACTCCATACCCGATTAACAGCTCCCTTTTCCTTCTCCCCACCCCTCAGTCCTGGTAACCACCATTCAACTTTATCTGTGAATTTGACTACTTTAGATAGTCACCCTTAAGTGAAATCATACAATGTTTTTGTGAGTGTGTATGTGTGTGTGCGCGCGTGCGACTACATTATTTCATTTAGCAGGGCCAAATTCTGGTAATAATCTTATCTAATGCTGGAAGTAAAAATTAGTTCTAGGTGAAGTAAATACTAAGGAAACACATTGAACCCAATATAATGTCTTCTAGATAAGGAAGCATTTTCCAAACTTAGAATACTTTAGAAAAGATTGTGTACAGAAAAATTAAAGATTTTGTAGCATAAAACTAAAAAGTCATTGTATTTCTTTTTTTTTTTTTTTGTCATTGTATTTCTTAAAAAATACCATATCACACAAATAAAAACAACCCTGAAGAAAGTGTGCAGAGAGTGTAGTGTCTTCATTTTATATGTTAAAGGGTTAATATCTTACAGAATGTGAATATCTTAATAAGATCTTAAATGACTGCTTCCAAATATTACAGTGTTAATGTCCTTATATGATTATGCAAATTCATATGGAAACTACTGAAAGTTTGTAAAGCACAAACAAAAATCATAAGAATTAAAAATAAATATGTACAGATTAAGTAAGTAAGTACTGGGAATTCTCTAGTGACCCATTGGTTAAAAAACCTCTTGCCAGTGCAAGGGGTTCGATCCCTGGTCTGGGAAGATCCCACATGCCTCAGGGCAAATAAGCCTGTGCTCTGCAACTGCTGAGCAGGCACTCTAGAGCCCACATGCCACAGTTCCTGAAGCCTGCGTGTCCTAGAGGCCTGTGGTCTGCAAGAAGAAAGCCACCACAATGAGAAGCCTGTGTACTGCAACTAGAGGGTAGTCCCTGCTTGCTGCAACTAGAGAAAGCCTACACACATCAGTGAAGACCCAGCATAACCAAGAATAAATAATAAAAATTTAAAAAAAGAGTAAGTAACTTTTCACTATATGTAGTGAACTCTGGCTTTAAAAACTTTGACAGATAAGAGTTTTACTTTTGTGACTAATTTCTGTCAAAATTTTTTGTCTATAAGTTAGCTGACAGGCATATGCCCTTAATTTTTTAAATTGAAGTATTTACAATGTTGTGTTCATTTCTTCTGTTTGGCAAGTTGATAACATTACACATGTATATACATTCTTTTTTTTATATTCTTCTGCATTATGATTTATCACAGAACACTGAATATAGTTCTCTGTGCTGTACAGTAGGACTTTGTTTATCTCATATACCCTTCAAATATATTTTCTTCTTTCTAGGAAATATTGATGAAGATGTCGTGGTGATAGAAGCTTCCTCCACTCCCCAGATCACTGCCAATGAAGAAATTAATGTTACCTCAACTGACAGTGAAGTGGAGATAGTAACAGTTGGGGAAAGCTATCGGTAAGATTTTAACTCCTAGTTGTATATTTGAAGTTTTAAGTATAAATATTTAGACACATTTGTGCTGCAGATATCTTCATTGTTTTACTTTATTTTTAAAAAACCTAGTTTGAGGATTAAACCAGGTTGTTAAACCAGGTTGTTAAACCAGGCCGAGTTAGATTCATCTGGGAAGATTATAAAATACATATTGTTGCTGGATCATGGCCCAGACCAGTTGAACCAGAATCTTAGGAATCACTATTTTTTAAGCACCCCAAGTATACAATGAGAGCTGAGTCATTGCTCTAGATAAATATTGATTTTTACTTGGTGTTTTATAAAATTGAGTTTGTTTTATGATTCAGAGTTCACAAACTCCTGGTTTCTCATTGATACCAGTGATATTTATGCTTTTAGATTAGGACAACTTTGTATAAAACCTCTTTTAAAAATTTTTTGTCCTTCACTCAGTAATTTGTTATAAGCTCTGTAGTGAAAAATGAATGGGATATCCGTGTTTGTTTTGATAAATAATTGAAATGACATTGTCCTTTTGAGAATCACTTTGACCAAAAAAGAGAGAGAGAGAGACCCTAATACTGTATTCATTTTGGGCTTTAGATGGTTACAAATACTGATAAAGGAAGCAGTGAACTGCTCCTCTCTTTCATTTCATGCACAAAACTAATCTGTGGATGAACCTTAATTTTTGTGTTGGAATGAGTTTAGAAATGCATTTGCTTATTGTATTTTAATATTATTGATTGAAAAAAATGTTCATGTTACAGTCATATCTAGAACATGCTTCTTTGCTTAACACTTTCTCATTGGGTACTGCTCTAATGGCATGGAAGAGAGCACTCTATAACATATCCTTGTTTAAATTTAAATGATTTTCCCATACTTGAAGGAAAATTGATACTTCATGGTATATGCCACAGATACCTGTGACTGCCCATAGTGCTTGATACAACATTAACTTGGTTTTTATGAGCTATAATGATTATTGAAACTAAGAACCTGTTTTTTCATGGAATTGGAGAGCTTTCTTACCATGCAGATGTTTAAATACTCAAGCAAATGCATTTACATAGTGGTAGACAGTGCTCTTGAAAAAGACATATAAGCTCATTACTCATGTTTATTTTCCTTCTGGTTACCTAGAACATAACTTTGTCACTTCAACTGGCTCCTCGCCCCTCCTCTAAGAGAGAATGTATCCATGTTTCAGATCTCCTTGTGTCAGGATTTGACAGTTGCCACTAAGGCCTCTTTGAAACTGTTCCTTATATATCAGGATTTTTGCTGGTACTTCACTAAACATATATTTGGAGTTGGTACATCCTGTGAAGTTTTCACCAAAGTACTGCAATGACCTGGAAGTTTCTTCAGCTGTTAACAGTTTCTCAGAAATAATAGGCTGCTCAGTTTCATCAAAGACTCTTGGTTTCTCAGGAATTTTAAATGGTGATTGTTCTCCTTATCTAAAACTATTTTATCTTGAAGCATTTGTTTATCCTCATGCCTTAATATGTACAATTCTTGCTGGAATAAACTGTCTTTTTTTCTTTTTCTTTTTTTAATCTGTTTCTCAGGATTTAACCTCTATAGTCCTATTACTTGAAATTTTAATTTTACAATTTGAAGTTCTTTCTAAACTTCTAGACTCTATGATTGCTGAGGCCATTTTCAGCTCAGTTTGAACTTTGGAGTTCTCTGAACTTCTCTGTATGAACTTTGAGTGATCAATTTCGTATGCAGATGACTACATGTTAGTGGATCTGGCTCACTTTTTTCCATACATGCTGACATACATACATATAAGCATATAGGCAGGTTTTTTTTTTTCATTTATTTTTATTAGTTGGAGGCTAATTACTTTACAGTATTGTAGTGGTTTTTGCCATACATTGACATGAATCAGCCATGGATTTACATGTGTTCCCCATCCTGATCCCCCTTCCCGCCTCCCTCCCCATTCCATCCCTCTGGGTCTTCCCAGTGCACTAGCCCTGAGCACTTGTCTCATGCATCCAACCTGGGCTTGTGATCTGTTTAACCCTTGATAGTATACTTGTTTCAATGCTATTCTCTCAGAATATCCCACCCTCGATACAGGTAGTTTTATATTCATTTTGGGCAGGAGGAAAAACCAACTTTGTAGCAAACCCCATCTTCCTAAAACATTTATTTTTTTCTCCTTGGTTCCTGAGAACTGCATATTCTATATACCATCTCTCTGTACCTTTAATCCAGGTCATTACAGTGAATTCTTTACAAGTTTTTAAAAATAAAATATATGCCTGTAAGTAATTTAGTACAATACACATAATTAAAAGATGGTAAAAGGCATTCAGTGTTGAGGGTTTGTAGTTATATTCCTTTAAAGCATAAAGTGGCTCAAACAATGATGTTATGTATAGCTGCCAAAGTATAGTTAGCTGCAGTAAACTAGCTACAACTATCCTTACTTCTCCTGATAGCAAGAAATATCTCGTACTTCAAATCTCTTTTAGGACAGTCCCAGAAACAACTTGGTTCTGGGCTCCCAACGCTGAAGATCATATGAATGTTATTAAATGTTTAGGGTGTTGATATTTTTGTTACTATATCTATGGTGAATAAGTTTAGGTATTAACAAGTTTAGGTATTAACATAAAATGTAAATGATTGATTATAACCCAGGTGACTATTCAAAGTACACCTTGAAAAGAGAGCAGCACTCTTGAAACAGAATCCTATATTTTACACCAATGATAGGCCTAGCATATTTTTCATTTTCTTAGGTCAGTTGGTTGGTGAACATTTATTAAATATTTAATTCAACAGATGTTTATTGAGTGCTCGGCATTATGCTAGTGATAATTTTAAATTCTATTGTGATTATCTTTCTGGAGAATTCTTGCATGAAGAATTTCACAACTTGTTTTGTAAGAAAGGCTTATGATTTCTTAGGTGACTAAAAATTTTGTTATTTAGGTCTCGGTCAACCCTTGGACACAATAGATCTCACTGGAGCCAAGGTTCAAGTTCTCATACAAGTCGACCACAGGAGCCACGGAACCGCAATAGAATGTCTACTGTTATACAGCCCTTGAGGCAGAATGCAGCAGAAGTTGTGGACCTTACTGTTGATGAAGATGGTAAGTTGGAATGCTAGCAGTGTGAAATTATGAAGACAATTTAGTAAAATGAAATATCTTAATATGTTAGAAACCTTATTGCTTCTTATTATTGGTAATAATAATATGTCAATAATATATTATTAAATTACAGAGAAGTTGGCAGATATCCTAATGTTATTTTTCAATTGATAATATAACTCCAGTTTGTAAGTTGTGTCTAAAAGTTCTTTCTGGTTATTGTTTCACTGCTTGGTAGTTGTTTTCTTAGAAGAAATTATTTTTACAAGTGGTAGTTTGATCTATCCTCAGACTTATGTGTTACTTTCATTTGTAATATTGCTGTTATACTTTAACTTTACTATGAAAAATAGAAACAACAGTTTTAAAATACAGAACAGAAAAGCAGTGTAACTGAGTTTAAATGATTAATACTAGTTATTTGAGATGTTGAATTTGCTTTTATAAGTTACGTTATCTTTTAGTGTAATATGGTTAGTTTATGTGCTGCTTAGCTTTAGTGTTTCATTTTGGCTTACAGGGCTTCTATAGCTCAGATGGTAAAATACCTGCCTGCAATGCATTAGACCCTGTTCAATCCCTGGGTCAGGAAGATCCCCTGGAGAAGGGAATGGCAACCCACTCCAGTGTTCTTGCCTAGAGAATTCCATGGACAGACCATGGGGTTGCAAAGAGTTGGATATGACTGAGGGACTAAGACTTACACGTCACTTCTTTGGCTTATATACAGCTATACCCAAGTAACTGAGGAAACAACGCTAGAGTTGGAAAGCAGAGGTTAGGAAATGTGGTAAGCAAGTATGAATATATGAATACATTTGTGAATTTTCCCTCAAATTGAGAATTATCTTCAGATACTGATAGTTACATCTTAGAAGGAAATGGTCGGCAACTCTGCTTAATGAACTGTGGTAACCTGAATGGAAAGGAAGTCCAGAAGGGAGGAGATATATGTATATGTATGGCTGATTCATTTTGCTGTATAGTAGAAGCTAATACAATATTGTAAAGCAACCATACTCCAATAAAAAATAAATTAAAAAGAAGCCCTCAATCATAATGTCCTTAATACTTGGTAAGCCATATATGGATTGGATTCTTTACCATCCGAGCCACAAGGGAAGTCCATTAGTTTTGGCAGTTAGCTATAAATTAGATAAAGAATACATTTGTTAGGTCAGAAGAGTTAGGGGCCTTGTGCAATCAACTCTAATATTGGCTGTTGGCAGTTTGGATGATCATAACTTTCAGAGTACCAATACTTTGGAGTTAAGATGTTTATGAAGAGAGAATTTATTCTCATTGTTTACATTTCAGTTAACAATGTCTTGGTTTTTATTTTGGAAGTACCATAAATCATCTGTAAGAAGTGGTTAATATAATAGGGATTTATTAAAGATTATCCAATTAAATATCGATGACTCTTTTGGAAACTTTTTGTGTTTTCCTATGTGACACCTGCCATCTAAGTAACTTTTTAATCCACTTGAATTTAGTTCAAACAGAATACTTTTATGTTAAAAGTATTGCAGTGATTAGTAGATAGACTCCCTTCTCTCAGTGGAAGGCTTCCATCTTACTAAAAATAAATCTAAAACATAAGTTTAGTTAGAACAGTGGTTCTTACCTAGTGGCCGTTTTTTGTGCCTGGAGACCTTTGGCAGTATCTGCACACTTTTGATTCTGAGAGTGGAGGGAGAGTGCTACTAACATCTGATGGATGGAGGCCAGGGGTGCTGCTAAACATCTTATGATGCAAAGGATAGCCCACCTCTAAGCCACCACCTCCAATCAAGAATTATTCAGCCAAAAAAGTCAATACCTCTGACTGAGAAACTGAGATAAACTATTGGCAAATAAACAGAAGTTCCTTCCTCTCCCTTTTAAGTTTAGGCAAATATATTTCTTTAAGCATCTGAAGTATAGGGTTCCATATAGACTAACAGGCACTATTTGTTTTTCAGTGATCAGTCTCCTGTACTGCATTGTATAGAATGGTTGTCTTCTCATTCTATTCTGTATCACTTTTAAATATCTTCTTTACAAGTCTAATTATTGTGACTATGCTTTGGACAGATTTATTCCCATTATTAATTATTTAAGTCATTTAATAATTTGAGTCTAAAATAGAACCCATTCATAAGTTAAGGTCTACCTGAAATTTCTTTTAATTTCTACTACAGAAACTTTCATTTTTATTAGAAAGCACTGATAAAAATATTTGCAAAAAATTGGGGGAAAACATACAAAAAGACATGTAAAAAATTAAAATATATTAAAAATCACAGCTAATGTTTATTAAATGACTTCCATTTGTAAAGGATCATATATAAGTGCTTCATATGTGTGATCTCTGTTCATCCTAACAACAGTTCTATGAAGAAAATTTTGTACTTTACTAGTTCTATAGATGAGGAAATGGAGAATAGTTAAGTAATTTCTCCTAGATCAATCTGTTAGTGGTGAAATCAGAATTTCTATCCAAACCGTGTGACTCTAAAATCCATAGGTACCAGAGAAAGTACAGTTTGTGTGCTGTGACAATGTGTGTGAACATAGCAGAGGGACTTTTACTTTACCTCTCTGATCAGAAAACTTACATGGTCCTTACCAAAAAAAACTGTGTTAGTCCTTTGAATTATTGGAGTATGCACATATATGTTTAAAAATACAGTAACGTTTCATTTTAATGTTGATTTAACTTTACGAAAACTTTTCTTTTTAAACTATATATTGTACTTACCAGAGGGTTCACATTTTAAGTTTAATAGCTATAAAAATATTAGCTTTTATTAAAATATAACGCGTTGCCTAATTTGTTTTGAAATGCTAAATAAACATTTTGTATTTTGTAGAACCTACTGTAGTACCAACCACTTCTGCGAGAATGGAATCACAAACCACAAGCGCTTCCATTAACAATTCAAATCCATCTACCTCTGAGCAGCCCTCTGATACTGCTTCAGCTGTCACTAGTAGCCAACCCTCCACAGTGTCAGAGACTTCAACTACTCTCACAAGCAATAGTATGACTGGTACTTCTACAGGAGGTATGTTTAAAAAATAAAAAGGGGCGGGGAGAGACTGTTAGAAAAAGAATGGTTGTTATTAAGATTTTAGCCATGTTAGCAAGAGTATATTCTTAGAATAAACATCATATGTTAACAAAGTGGTCTCTATTAGAATTAGAGTATGACTTCATATTTGAGTTCCTGTGTGCTGTGTTACCAGAGTATTATAGCTCAACTGAAAGAGATGGGGGAGAATTGAATGGCTGACACCAAAAATACAGTTAACAAAAGATAAAAATGAATAGGACTTGATCAAAATTTAAAATTATTGTACATTGAGGGTAATTATAAGAAAGTGAAAAGATAGCCTACAGAATGGGAGAAAATATTTGAAAATCATATATTTGAGAGGGGTCTGGTATCCAGAATTGTAAAGAACTTGCACAGCTTAACAGTAAAAAGAACCACCACCCAGTTTTTAAATGGGCAAAGAATGTACATAGTCGTTTTTCCAAAGAAGAAGGTCATTTATATAAGTGACCAAAAAGCACATGAAAATATTAGTCATTAGGGAAATGCAAATCAAAACCAAAATGAAATTCCACTTTACTCCTACCGGGATGCCTATAATTAAACAAAACAAAGGCAAGAAACAGGAAATCAGAAGATGACCGGTGTTAATAAGGATATTGAGAAATTGGAACCTTTATTAACATCTGGTAGGAGTTTAAAATGGTAGAAGACACTCTGATGGTTCCTTAAAAAGTTAACCACGGAGTTACCGTAAGACCCAAAAATCGACTCTTAAATATGTATCCAAAAGAATTGAACGTAGAAGTGGGAGTTTTAAGAAGCTTGACAATGTCCATTTCCTCAATTTTATTGTTTATTTTTTGGTGTCGTGTCTCAGAAGCTATTGCTTAGCCCAAGGTCGCAAAGATTTACTCTTATGTCTTAAGAGTTTTATAGTTTTAAAGAAAGGGAAAAATAAATGCAAGAAGGGCCCCCTGGGGAGTTAAGGGAATATGCTGGTGCTGATTGTGTGCAGTATGAAGCTGATGGTCTTCTCACTAGTTCTAAAACAGTTTCCTTCTTGCAACAACACGTTTCCTCCTTCATCCCTAGGAGTTTGGGATTAAAATATACACATTTTGATATATAAAGCAGATAACCAACAAGGACCTATTGTATACCTCAGAGGAACTATACTCGGTATCTTGTAATAATCTATAAGGGAACAGAATGTAAAAAAGAGTACGTGTGAAAGTGATGTGTGAAAATGTTAGTCGCTCAGTCATGTCCAACTCTTTGTGACCTCATGACCGTAGCCCACCAGGCTTTCTCTGTCCGTGGAATTCTCCAGGCATCTGAGCCACCAGGGAAGCCCACCCACTACACCCCCCAGAAAAGAATGTATATATGTAAATAACTGAGTCACTTAATACCTGAAACTGACACAACATTGTAAATCAACTATATATCAATAAAAATTTTTAAAGAGCAAGTTTTATAGTTTTAGCTTATGGATTATCTCTTAAGTTTCAGTTAGCAGTGCTATCTCTGGTTCTTTCCTATCAGCTGTTTGACTAGGTCTTAAACTAGCCGTTTTTCTCTTCTGAATGATGGCACAGAGATAGGAACTTGCTGTTTACTAACAGAGACATCATAGACCCTATAGATCGTAGATTGCCTCTATCACCAGTAATAATAGTAATCACCATTAATAATGAAACCACCATATATTTTATATCAATTTTTTTTTTGCTTTTAATAATATCTTTAATTCTTCTATCCTTATAACTTAACATTGAGCAGATTGGAAAACTGCTTGTGTCTGGTTTAGATCTCCCTTCCCTGGAAACTAAAGGTGAACCTTGAGGAAACAAGGAAGTTTCCTAGGGGAACCTTTTAAATACTGCATTTTTTGAAAAATAAAATGTAGGCAGAAGTGAAATGGGTTTTTATTTCATTTATTGATTGCGTACTCTTTTCTGGTTGCATTCTGTACCTTATGTTTATCTAGATGTTATGTGAAACAGTCCCAACTTTATTTCAAGACAACTTTGAAATAAAGACAACTTTGAAACAGTCCTAACTTTATTTAACGAAAACTTTATCTCAGTGCTTTTATTTATGTACTTATTTTTTAACACCCTTGTTTAGTTAGGATTCACATTTAATCTATTAAGTAGCAACATCATTGCATGAGTGGACCTTCTCCATGATATTTTTTCTATCTTTTTATGATGGCCTTTTGATAGACTTAATCATGTTACATTTCTCTAGACTAGGAGAATCTTGTTCAAGACCAAGTTGTTCCTCTGTATAAATCTGATAAAAGCACATACAGATAGTCAGACTATATTAGGAGCATTCAGTTCTGCTGGCTCATTTCCTTCCAGGACTGTAGAATATCATTTATCTATTTTCCACATCCTGTCTTTACTTTGCACCTTCTTGCATATGTCCAACCTTGAATCACTTGAGCCATCTAGCTTCTTTCTTATCCAGGTTTCTAAATGGAGCTGATAAAAATCATAGAACCATGCAGATTGGTGCCTCCTGAATTTATGGAATCAAATCTTGGGCTGTTGGTAATAAGTTGTGATAGTATGATATACCTCAGTTAGTTCCCTTCCCTTTCCTTCCCCTCAGTGTCTATTCCAAAATTGTCTTATTTTCTTAAGACTCTTATTTCTGGGGGTGGAAAGAGGATTTAAAAAATAAATGAAGGTTCTCATGCATGAATACGTGTAACTTCCAGCCCCTTTATTAAAAACTTTTGTATGGAAAAAAAAAAACAAAAAACTTTTGTATGTTTATACCTATCCATATCTCCTCACTGCTGGTCTCTTAACTCCCTTCCTGTAGCTTCCAGTTTCTTTATCTTTGCTCTTTATCCTTTTTTGTGTCCTTGACCTTGTTTTAATCTTGCCTGTGTGTTCAGCATCTGTGCTGGTTTCATTCCTTTCATATATGTACATGTGCATTTGTGTTAAGTCTGTGTACACCTAAGGGATCTTCTTCACCTTAAACTCCTTCATTTAACTTTGACTCCTTTTAAAACAAACATGGTGTTTAAAAATCTGGCAGTAAATTTTCTCCTCATCTTCTTTTCTCCCAGAACTCTATTCTCATCTCTGTTTTCACTGATCCATCTCATAACTGTAGGTGTTTTCACTTGCCACCAGTAGTCAATGACTCACCATTTTGTGCTTCCAGAGTGCTCTCCTTGTTTTAAATTTTCATATCCAGCTTCCTCTCCTCTGGACCATTCTGCAATCACCTCAAACTCAGCATGCCCCCAGTCAGCTTATCATCTGTGTGATTTCTCAATGTGTTCCTAGCATATGCATACGTATCTTTTGTATTCATTTATTCAGCAAACTATTTATTGATTGCATGCTATGTAGTAGGCACTGTTCTAGGCACTGGTAACACAATATAAAAAGAGCTAATAATTGTAACAGATAATATTAGCTAACACCTGTGGAACTCATAATATTGGTTAATAATTTCTTTATAGTAGCGCTGGCTTTTGTAATAACCTATAAGACAGATTCTATGATTATTCTCATTTTGCAGGTGAAGTAACATTATTCTCATTTTGCAGGTGAAGGTTATATGACAGTAGAGCCAGAATTCAGACCTACAAAGTCTAGCTTGAATCCTGTATTCTTCTTTATGCCAGGATATCTCAGCCTTGGTACTCTTGTCTTTGGGCTGGACAGTTCCTGTAAGGGCAGGCAGGCTCTCCTGTGCATTGTAGGATATTTGGTAGCATTCTTGGCTTCTCCGCACTGAGTACCCCGTAGTGCCCCCTCCCCTGCAGGTGTGACAGCCGGAAGTACCCCCGGTTGTTGCTGGGTACTCCTTGGGGGCAGTGTTGCTCCGTACTGTGCTAGAACCCAGAGCTTCTGTTACAGTGCTGGTTGGTTTCTTTTTAAATTTCTCTCTGTGCTTGATGATGAGCTCCTTGAGGACAAAAGATCAAGTCTTCCTTTTTTTAGCACTAAGCTGCTCCCATGCAGGCATGCCTTTTTCCCCTTGCGAGGTTAGCTTAAATTTAGCAAGTGCTTATTGATCTGCCTACATTATAGCTTGTTTCTAGTTGCTAGAGATAAAACAACAAAGGCAGACAATATCCCTAAATTATTTTAATGGTCAAGACTTTCCTTTTTACTGTTGTATTTTCCAGTAGCTTTATAGATCCTTAGCCATGTTAGTATTATATGTAAGACTTGCCAAATAAATGAATAAATGCATGAGTACATTTCAGTAATCTTCCTAGAATTACAGTAAAAGTACTTTAACCAGCTTGATGTCACTGGGATATGGAGTTTATTTCTCTGATGTAGATTTGTGATGGTCTATTTTTAGTGGACACTCAGTAGTCTAATTTTAATTTTAAAAAAAGACAGGGTTTATTTGCTTAATCAGATATCTTTGTATTTCACCCTGCTCTGGCACATTTCTTTGGTTATTAACTCTTGAACAAGAGGAGATTCAGTTGTCTTTACTTTGGATTTCTACCTTGTTTGAGCAACAAAGAGCTTCTGGACTATAGGAAAACAGATATTAATTTAATTGGAAGTCAAAACTGTACCTTAAGAAGTAGAGCTATAAGGTCAGTCCTCTTTTGAGGGGCATACTGTTAATCATTTAACCCCTTAAATATGTATTCACCCTTAAGGATATTATAGTTATTGTGCTTCCTCTTCTCTCACTGTGACCTTTGTTTTTGAAATAATTGAAGACCAAGAGGGCAAGTCATTTTTAAACAGATAAATGTCATATCTATCACTTTGGTCATGCAGTCCCTAGGTCTCTTGCTCTGGTTACAGACTTATCTCCTGAGTCTTAGAGTTTTTGGATTTGTAAAATTAATGTGTCACAGTTGGAAGGAACCATGAAAGTCATTTAGTCCATCCACTGAATGAATTTAGTGTCCTAAAGGTTTTTTATTTTCTTTTCTGAAGTAACACATAATAAATGGCATTTACTTGTGTAATTTTGACATGGGGACTGAGATATAACCTCAGAAATGTTGTAGGAAGTGAAGATCCTATAATAATGATATTGCTATAAATATTATAGCCTATAGAAAATAGCTACTTTTGATTCAGCATAACTAAGATAGCTGTTGATCATAGTCAATTCCTAGTGTGCCAGTTGTGATTCTATCCAGGTTACTCAAGAAATTTGAAATGCAAATGAATGAAAGGGATGTAGTTACCAAACTGACTTTGAATCTGCTATCACTTATGTTTTAAAAGTGAACAACTTGTTGACTTTTTATCTTTTTTGGTTTTGTTATAAATTACTTGTGATTTTTAACCTCTCAACTTATGATAAGAAGGTAATACTAATTCCAGGAGGCTATTAGAGATTAGTGTAATTCTTTTCTATCCGAGTTTACAGATTCCTGAATTCTAGTTCTCAGGTTAAGAACCTATACAAAAGGGCTCAGGAAATTAGCCCAAATAGGCCAGGATAGGAACTTGAGGGGGAAAAACAACAATATTCAGAGATTTAGAATAGAGATACTGCCTAACAGGGTTTAGGAAGAGTTTAGGTTTGCCCAGAAGAGAATCAGCAACAGCAGGATAGGACATGTATAGGAGGGCAGACCCTAGAGAATTACAGGGAGGTTTCCTGCAATCCCACCCATCAGTCAGAGCCACCCAGATTCATTTATGTGAGTCTGTAAATTCCCTTCATTGTTTTAGCCAGTTTTGGTTGGATTTTTTGTATTGTTTGTAAATAACCAGAAGATTCCTAATTGGTACATTGACCCATAAGAGAATAGCTTTGTATTGTGAGCCAAATAGGAATAGGGTATCCCTGGTATTGGTTACTCTAGAAATATGGCTGGAACACAGGTGTACTCTAGAATCCTAAGAATTCTGAGGAGATGCCTCATGAGTCATGTGGGGGAAAGGGAGGACAGGCTTTGGGTTTTCTATTCCTCTATTTTTAAGTAAAAAATGTATCTCCATTTTTATCTTTTTTAATTTGCACATACGTAGTTTGAGGAAAGGGTGCTTTTTCTTAGGGGAGTTTGAAACACTAGGATAAACCTTCTGGGGACACATTTGCTTTTCTTCTGGCCTGGGAGAATGTACCTTCAAAGTAACTCTGGGCATGTGACAGAGCATAATTAGGACTCAGATGTTTTGTACCTAGAAGATTATTATCTTTTCTAAGAACAACCGTGCAGGATAGTTACTGCTACATTTAATAGGTGAGAAAGAGATTAAATAACTTTCTTAAGGTCACATTACTCAAATTAGACAGGCTCAGGGTTAGAATTTAAGCCCATCTGATTCCATTCTTTTATTCCACTGTTAAACTTTGAGTCACAAAATTATTACAAGAGACTTTTAATTTTCAGCCAGGTAGAATCTTATAATTTCTTTTGTTCTATTGGGTCTGAGTTTAGAGACCAGAGAAAGGGAAAAGACTTTGGACGTTAGTGAGACTTAGCCAGATTTGCTCTGAGTTGGATGGTTATATCTTTAAGAAGTTAAGATTTTAAGAAGTATGACATAGTAGTCTTCATTATATAGGAATGATTTATAGTATTAAGAGCATTTGTTGTATATAGTGAAAGGACTCCCATGATACTTTGGAGTTTTTAAAATACAATTTAAAACTAATAATTTATTTTAAAAAACTAATAATTTATCATGACCTAGGAAAAGGTGATTTATTGCCATATTTAAACATCATGGTTAATATAAGCCTCTTGAAGCTTGGAAGAAAATCCCAGTGAAGACCACTGCCTAAAATTACAGGATATACATGTTAAGAATGTGACTATATCACATTATTATTTACAGATACTTGAATTCACTAATCACTTATTATTTACCTATTTATACACATTTATACACAAGGTTGCTCAGATGGTAAAGAATCTGCCTGCAATGCAGGAGACCCGGATTGGTCCATGGGTCAGGAAGATCCCCTGGAGAAGGGAATGGCTACTTTACTCCATCCAGTATTCTTGCCTGGAGAATCCCATGGACAGAAAAGTCTGGTGGACTACAGTCCATGGGATTGTGAAGAGTCAGACATGACTGAGCAGCTAAGCACACACACATATTTTTTACACAGCGATACTTGATCATTTAATTGATCTGTGCATATTTTCATTTCAAGATGACTCGAGGAGAACTGCGTCTAATGCTGTAACAGAAACTGGCCCTCCTGCAATGCCTAGGTTACCTTCCTGCTGTCCCCAGCACTCGCCCTGTGGAGGGTCATCACAGAATCACCATGCATTAGGACATCCACACACAAGTTGCTTTCAGCAGCATGGCCACCATTTTCAGCATCATCACCACCATCATCATCCTCCCCACCCAGCCGTCCCAGTGTCTCCTTCCTTTAGTGACCCTGCGTGTCCTGTGGAAAGACCTCCACAAGTACAGCCACCTTGTGGAGCAAATAGTACTTCCAGTGCCAGCTACCATGACCAGGTATGTGGAATTTGATGAGTTCTTCTTAATTTTTTATTATTTATTTATTTTTTTAAATTTTTTTTCCTTAATTTTTTAAAATTGCAGTTCCTTCCAGAGAAAAAAAAATCTAATGATAAAGTTTATGTACCAAATAAGTCATTCTTTTTGCCCCTACAAGAGTGGCGTAATTTAATGATCTGTGATTTTTTTTTTTAATTAAGTATTTAGGATTTTCTCATGTTGTAAATGATTGCAACCAATTGAGGGGACCAGGGATGTGGATAATTGGATACTTATTCTGGAATGTTTTTCAGTGTTTTTAGTTAAATATAAGTGGATTTAGTGTTTAGGATTTCATTTCAAACAAAGGTGTTGAAACTGCAGTGTCAGCCTCATTCATGAGAAATTGGGGAATTCTCCCAGTTTTTTCCTCCTCTACCTCCTCTTCTGGAGCCTCCCAGTAATCTCCACTCATCTAGAAATAAACGGACTTCTCAGCTGCAAAACCATACAGGGAGGAACCTCCTGTTTCTCAGGAGCAGATTAGGTTTTTAGTTTCTGGGAAATTGAAATGTCAGCAAAAAAAATTATCAGTAATTTTTTTTGCTAATTAAGTAAATTGGTTGATATTATTAGTGAGTACTTAAAATGTCAAATAGTGTTAAATTCATATTGGTGATCACATGGAGTAAATAAAGTGAGGTATTATGTGCTATTTTAACTTTTGCTGTATTGTTTCTGTGTATAATTGTGACGTAAACCTGGGTGGTGCATACTTTAAAAAACAAAATGGGTAATATAAAATGGTAAGTGACACATGTGCTAAATAAAATGGGCTAGAAAAAGTTAAAGTGAAATTCAAAGTAACGGCTCCACTGTACCCTCTGGCCTTTCCTCAAGTACATTACTTGCTTCGTCTTTTAAATTTTTGATGATTATCTCTTCTGGTTCTGACAAATTAAAATTGAGAAAGTGAAGTGTTCCCTTAAGAAGAAACTAGCTGCTGATATAAAAAAAAAATTGAAAGCGTTTAGTAGGAAATGTGATTAAAGAGATTTTAGATGATGTTTTGGCTCTGTTAACAGCAGTTCTAAGTACTAACATCTGTTGATTGACTACACCTATTCTACCTTTTGGGCCTAAAAAAGCAACCTGAGTGACTTAATTATAGGTAGCATCTCTTATTGTTTTGTGTCAAATATAGGTGTGACCTGCTCATCTCTCTCTCTCTCTCAAGTGTTAGTTGCTCAGTCCTGTCTGACTCTTTGTGACCCTATGGACTGTAGCTTACCAGGCTCCTCTGTCCACAGAATTTTCCAGGCAAGAATACAGGAGTGGGTTGCCATTTCCTTCTCCAGGAGATCTTCTCTAACCTCTGTCTCTAAATAGAAGTATTTGGAGTATACACAAACCTTGAGGAAAATCAGCAGGATCAGGCATTCAATAGTGATAATGGATATGAAGCTAAAGAGTGAGGTTTTAGAGATATGAACAGTTTGAGATTCGTGTAGTTCTTTGTAGGACTCTGAAATTAACCACATGTACATGAGATAGTCTCATATAGTCTACATTTGAGACCTGTGTGGACATAGTAGGAAGCTGAGGAGAAGGAGACTAATCTTAGGATTTATAATTGTGTGGTGTCTCATTGTCAAACTGTAGATAGGCAGAGAAAGATTGGGGAGGATTAGTCTTAACAGCAGAGAAATTTTAGTAGTCACTTGACTCTATCATACTACTCCTTTGGGTGTAGCTTTCTCTTTTGATAGAATAGTTTAATTAGTGTTATGCATTATTTATAATCTATGTAAAGGGCTTCCCTGAGAACCCAGTTGGTGCAGAATCTGCCTGCAATGCTGGAGACCCCGGCTTGATTCCTGGGTAAGGGACATCCGCAGGAAAAGGGATAGCCTACCCACTCCAGCATTCTTGGGCTTCCCTTGTGGCTCAGCTGGTAAAGAATCAACTTGCAGTGCAGGAGACCTGGGTTCGATCCCTGGGTTGGGAAGATCCTCTGGAGAAGGGAAAGGCTACCCACTCCAGTATTCTGGCTGGAGAATTCCATGGACTATGGGGTTGCAAAGAGTTGGACACGACTTAGCAACTTTCCCTTTCACTTTCCCTGGTGGCTTAGTGGTAAAGATGCCTGCAATGCAGGAGACCAAGGTTCAGTCCCTGAGTCAGGAGGATCCCCTGGAGAAAGAAATGGCAACCTACTCCAGTATTCTTGCCTGGGAAATCCAATTGACAGAAGAGCCTGGTGGGCTACAGTCTGTGGGGTCACAAGAGAGTCAGATAGGACTTAGCGACTGGACAACAAATAAGTAATATTTGCTATTTCTGTACCATCTTGCTTAACCCCACTTTTCCTTCTAGAATAAGAATTGAGTGAACTCTTGGAATTGTGAAGAAGAGGGTTCTTTCTGTTGGCTTTTTCCCCCTTTTTATTCTCTACTTTTAACTTTACCCTCGGTTGCTTCTAGGAGGACCTTCACCCTACCTTACTCACTCTTTGGGAGTTTTCTTAATCACTGACTGGAGAAGAAGATAGGAAATTTGCTAACCTTCATAGTATGTTAATATTCCAGTCCATTTGCCAAATTTTAACATAAATAGGAAATACACAAAGGATTTGAGTCATCAGTAATAATTCACAATCTTAAAATATTGTTCTTAAACCTTATTTATCCACATTAGAAGCTGATATTGTATTTGCCAACTCCGAAGAAAGACGTCAGATATTTACTTAATTGATTGTAGACACATAATGTACAAGAGGAATGTAGTTCTATTGTCCTTCCCTCATTCTGTACCATCCTCCTCCTTCCCTTTTAATATCCAGAGTTTCTTATGTTTCTTTTATCCTCTGAACAGGGTGGCCATTGAAACCACAAAGACCACTCTGTCTCTAAAAACAATAATAATAAAATAAATTTTTAAAATATACTAAGACCGTTATGGTTCCTCACTGGACTAAGTGACCTGGGCCTCTATTAAATGCATTACCCTCGCTTTCCTCACCTCTAGTCTCTCAGCTTTCAGTAGTGAACAGTCTCTACATATGATTCCATATATAACATCTTCATTTTCTTTAATCACATTAAAAAAAATTGCAGCTGTACTGAACACTAAGCAAAGGCTTATACTTAAAATACACAAGAATATAAAGAAGCAATTCTGTTTCTGTTATCTGCTCTGGAGTAGAAGGTAAAGTGTTTGTTTTCCTTAGGACTTTTCAAAGTGCTCTAGTTAGGGCTCGAATTTAGACTCTTTGATTTTTCAACTTGGTAAATGATCCTTCCCTAAAATTATCTTACTAATAAAAGTAATCGTGGTTTAAATTTTTTTAAGTGAAAAAGGTAACTAAGAGGCAAAGCTAACAGTTTTAGCTTGAATAATCTTAGACCCTCTGTTATCTTGGATAATGTTTTCACTATTTGAGTTTTAGTTGAATCCTTGCTGTGTACAGTTTAAAAATGAGATTTTCACCTGAAACCTTCAATGTTTTCAGTGGCATGATTATATGTTTTCTGAAGGAGTCCTAAATTACCAGTCAGAGTTTTGGTGTAAAGGAGGATATCAACATATGATTTAAAAGTTTCTCTCTTAAGATCTAGTATATGGAAGATAAATAGATCTTAAAATAATACATTAACTTTTGTTCAAGCACTATCACATGCTTGATTATTTAAAATTGATTATAGTTTTTAAGTGGATAAGCACTATAATTTTTACAATCCGAGATACACGTAGTATCTTTTGGTGCTCAGTAGGTCTTCACACTCAAAATTTTACCAGTTTCAAATTTATTGATTCTATTTTTCTAGATTACATTGAGTACTTTTACAATATGCCATAAACAATGTTTTGACCAAATTGTAGAAAGATAAAACATAGTTCCTCTTTGTACAGCAGGCCTTGCCAGTAGACCTGAGCAGCAGTGGTGTCAGAAGTCATGGAAGTGCTGGTTTTCATGGAGCGTCTGCATTTGACCCCTGCTGTCCTGTTTCTTCTTCCCGAGCTGCAATCTTTGGCCATCAGGCTGCTGCCGCCGCTGCCCCAAGTCAGCCATTATCCATAGATGCTTATGGATCAAGCATGGTTGCCCAGCCCCAGCCCCAGCCCCCTCCACCAGCCTCACTGTCATCTTGTCGACATTATATGCCACCTCCTTGTAAGTATAAATTTAATAGGCAAAGAACTTAGAGGCACATAAATGAAGTATTGTACTGTCCTCCATTTAATAACCTTTCAGTAATTCTAATTTATAAATTTCTAGTAAGTACTTCCTTGACCTAAAAGTAGAGTGTATTTTTCCCATTTCATCCTTCCTTCACCTCACATACCTAAAGCGGTCTTCTTAAGCAAAAACGGCAGATGTTGTTTTAAAAGGTCTGGGAAAATGATAAAAAGTATCATATTTGTCTAATTTACATTTTAACATTTACATTTTAATGTCTATCTATTAGAAGTACATTGAATGGTACTTTTGATTCCTATAAAAGGAAATTTTAAGGAATTTATATTTATCTTTTAGTATTAAAAAGAAATTGGAAGGTTTAGTAGTTGTTTCTATGCATAGGAAATTAAACTTTAAGAATTCTGAAACTTAACTGAGACACAGGAGAAAATTCCTTGACAGAAAGACAGTTGTAGAAAGGTTTTCTGTACTCTCTTCATGCAAGCAGTTAAAATAGAATCAGATATGACTTTTCTAAGAAATTGAAATCTATAAGATACAAGAAATGAGAAATAACCTTAGGCTGCGTAGCATATATTTATTGCTTTGTCAAATCATAGGCTAATAATCAGATGGAAACTTATTAAATATTTTGATTTTTAAAAAAAAGCACTGAAAATTCATGCCAGGAGTAAAGCAAAACATTGGCAAGGAAATTTGCTTTTGTCCTCTGATTACATATGAGGGATAGTGTTCAGTTATTTATCTTCTTATGATTCCAGCCCTATAATTTTAAAAATCTGTGTCCTGCATACACAGCTAGAGTCAACCCAGAATTTGTACAGTGAAATCTGGTGATACATCATTTATCTTTTCAAGAGTTCAAGTTTTTGCAAAACATTAACCAGTGGACAAATTCCGTGTGTGAACACTGGCAGGATGTGCAGGCTGTTCTGTAATAGTTGTTGATATTCATCTTTTGTTTATTATCTTTTATTGGGAACTCAAAATGTGTGGTTTTCTCCCCCTCCTCTTTAAAAATAATATATTGAAGCAATTTATAAGTGTATCCCTTGCTTTTTTATGTTCTAATCTAAAAAGTTAATGTTTTCTTTTTATCATAAAAGTAACTTGTGTACACTTTAAGAAGTTCAAACCACAGAATAATATAAGAAGTTAAAAATCCTTCTCCATTCTTCCCACTAATCCAATACCTCAGTGGTAGCAACTGTTTATAGTTCATTATAAACCCTTTCAGAAATTTTCTTTCTCTGCACATGTTATTATGGCACATCTCTTATTATGACATATCTCTCCTTTTTTAAAAAAAATGGGATCATATCAAACATAGTATTTGCCTATCTTTCATTTTTTATTTTTAAAAATTTTAACAATATGTCTCAGATTTTTGTAGTACATAAAATTCTAGCTCATTGTTTTTAATATCCTCATAATATTCCATTGTATATTGAATTAGTCCTCAATTGATGAACATTTAAATTATTTGTAGTTTTCTACTAGTCTGTAGGGTAACTTCCTAGGACTGAGATTGCTGGGTTAAAGTGACATGCTAAACTTTTAAGAAACAATATCAAGAACACTTTTTGTTTGTCTGTTTATTTTTACTGGCAAGAACACATAATACAGAGAAGAAGGGAAATGGTCTGTGGGAATGCAGAATATATCACCTTTATACAATGATTAGTACTTATTTTGTTTAGATAAACAGTGCATCATAATGATGGCTGAAGTTTTCACCACACACACAAATTGGCAACTGTGTGATTAAACTGATTGTGGTAATCATTTCACGTGGTATAATGTGTCAAATTATCATATTATACACTTTAGATATATTGTTTTAATTGTTAATTATACCTTAGTAAAGTTGAAAAATGATTAATGAAGAGTTAAATAAATAGATTCATTCCAAAGCAAAACTTTAGCATTTTGTGATATTTGTGAATATTATTTCTTATATAATAATTATATAGTTAGAACACCTTGCTGTGAAACTGGGAAAAATGCTCTAAATTTGAGGAAGAATAGTTAACAGAGAATTTAGTAACTTCTTTTTTGATGACTAAGAAGTACTGAGTTTTGTGACTTCTTAAAACATTGATTTGAAAATACAACTGTTAGAAAATTAGTTTTAAAAATATGTCTTACAATTTAAATTGAGCTCAGTGAAAGTTTCCTTTAAATATATGCTAACAATTTTTCTTTTGATGTATGGCTGAATGAGTCCGTGGTTACCTAACTTTCACCCCTGCTGCACGAATCAAAGCAATTAAAAATTGAAGGTAATCTTTCTGTAACGAAACTAGAGAAATGCTATGGCTCCATACCAGACTACCAAGAAAATCGTACAAGTGAAATGAAATTAGGGCTGAAATCCAAGGAGGAGACAAACTTATTTTTAGACCTCAAACTGATGCTCATCTCTTAAGAGTAAGAGAGAAAAGTATTCCCTTAAGGGACCTTTCAACAGTCATTTTGTAACGTAAAGATTCAGATTGAAGAAATGGGTGAAACCATCTTTATAAAGGCTGATTTTCATGGCAAGTTGCTAGCAAATATGCCCTCTCCTTAATGTAGCACAGGAAAAATAGCATGCGGCAGGGAGAGAAGTGCAGTGGTGAAAATATATGTTTACAGGCGTGCCTAGGACTTGCAAGTTCCTTTCCTCTCTATAGTGCTCTATAACCATTAATGATTAAGGAAAACATGATTTATGTGTTTATAAATATATAATTTATACATTTGATTTTACAAAAGCAAAATACTTATGACAGAGTAAAATTACCAGGAGACAATTTGGAAAAATGTTTATACTACCTTATGACAAGGAATACTTATAAATCAATAAGAAAAAGGTGAATTATAAGCTAACAATGTGAATAGATAATTCTGGGAAGAAATATAATTGATTAATGACTACAAAATTTTTTTCTGATTAGCATGTAAAATATGTGACAGTCTAATTAGTCAGGAACTCTCATGTACTAGTGATGGTAATTAATTATGGTAAACTTTTGGGAAAGGTGTTTTGTCAACTAGTATCTGAATTTTGATCAAATTGCCAACATCCACTGGATCCTAGAAAAAGCAAGGGAATTCCAGAAAAATGTCTACTTCTGCTTCATTGACTACACTAAAACGACTGTGTGGATCACAACAAACTGAAAAGTTCTTAAAGAGATGGGAATACCAGACTACCTTACTTGCCACCTGAGAAACCTGTATGTAGGTCAAGAAGCAACAGTTAGAACCTTACAGGGAACAACTGACTGGTTCACAATTGGGAAGGAGATACATCAAAGCTGTGTATTGTCACCCTGCTTATTTAACTTACAGGCAGAGTATATCATGCAAAATGTTGGGCTGGATGAAGCACAAGCTGGAATCAAGATTGCTGAGAGAAATACTGATAACCTCAGATATGCAGGTGATACCACCCTAATGGTAGAAAGCAAAGAGGAACTAAAGAGCCTCTTGATGGAGGTGATGGAGGAGAGTGAAAAAGCTGGCTTGAAACTCAGCATTCAGAAAACTAAGATTATGGTATCTGGTCACATCACTTCATGGAAATAGATGGGGAAAAAAATGGAAACAGTGACAGACTTTATTTCCTTGGGCTCCAAAATTGCTGTGGATGGTGACTGCAGCCACGGAATTTAAAGCACTTGTAATAGTATAGCATAGTAATAGCTATGATAAACCTAGACAGCATATTAAAAAGCAGAGACACCACTTTGCCAACAAAGGTCCATATAGTCAAAGCTGTTTTTTCCTGTAGTCATGTATGGATATGAGAGTTGAACCATAAAGAAGGTTGAGCACCGAAGAATTGATGCTTTTGAACTGTGATGTTGGAGAAGACTCTGACAGCCCCTTGAACAGCAAGGATATCAAACCAGTCAATCCTAAAGGAAATCAACCCTGAATATTATTGGAAGAACTGATGCTGAAGCTAAAGCTCCAATATTTTGGCCACCTGATGCGAAGAGCCAACTCATTGAAAAAGACCCTGATGCTGGGAAAGATTGAGGGCAAGAGGAGAAGGGTGCAACAGAGGATGAAATGGTTGAATGGCATCATTGACTCAGTGGACATGAGTTTCAGCAAACTCTGGGAGATAGTGAAGGACAAGGAAGCCTAGCGTGCTGCAGTCCATAGAATAACAAAGAGTCGGACATGATCAACAAGAATAATCTGAATTTAAATTATTCTTTCAGACTCAGAACTGCTTATAGGAATTTATGCTATAGAAACTTTCTGTGAGTGGTGTGTATGAGTGTGTGCCTTTATGTTCAGACATTCATGTACATGCATGTATGAAAGAGAGCACAAGAGGAATTATACACAGAGATGTTTATTGCAGCTTTGGTTTGCTTCCAGTTTTTATCAGTGGCAATTTGATAATGGCTTCCAGTTTTTATCAATGGCAATCAATAAATTTAGGTGCCTTCCTGTAATGAAATGCTGTGAATGAAGTAAAGCTATATATGTATTGACTTGAGAAGATACCTATGATTACTCAAAGAAGAAAGCAGGTTGCCAAACAAGACTAAGCAGGCTCAAGCATTGATAAAGTATTTACAAAATAAAAATACACTAATATGTTTGCTAAATATAACACAAATGTATTATGGCAATATATGTTTGACCTTGTGGTGCTTGTGCTTTTCTTACAGATGCTTCTTTGACAAGACCACTTCATCATCAAACCTCTGCCTGCCCCCACTCTCATGGAAACCCTCCTCCTCAGACTCAGCCTCCGCCTCAAGTGGATTATGTTATTCCTCATCCTGTTCATGCTTTCCATTCTCAAATATCGTCTCATGCAACATCTCACCCCGTGGCACCCCCACCTCCAACTCACTTAGCCAGTACAGCTGCACCAATCCCTCAGCATCTTCCTCCCACACACCAGCCAATTTCACACCATATTCCAGCCACAGCACCTCCAGCACAAAGACTGCATCCTCATGAAATGATGCAGAGGATGGAAGTTCAAAGAAGGAGAATGATGCAGCATCCAACGTATGTTTTATGTTTTTAAAAAGATAATCACCCTTTATTCTTTTTGCCTTCTATTTCCATTGGTTTTTAAGACTGTAAAGTCTTCAGAAGTGATATAGCTATATTTAATCCTCAGTTCATTAGGAAATTAATTTTTTACTAACCAGAATGTCTTATCCTGAGTTGTAGGTGCTGACATAAAAATTCTGTATCAGGTTATTTCATGTGAAAAGACTATAAAAACAAAAAGAACTTTATGTTTTCTTTGGAAAACTCAGGACCTGATGTTCTAATTTGGGGCAGTGTACTTTGTTGGTCTTATTCTGACTGCCTATTAAAGTTATGCAGGAAAATGGCTACACTGGTTCATCTATATATTGTCTGTAGCTTCTTTTACACTACAAAAACCACAGGTTGAGTAGTTACAACAGAAACCATGTGACCTAGAGAGCAAGCAATATTAAGTATTTGGTCCTTACAGAATGTTTGCAGATTCTTGATTTAATCAATGATCTGGCACTTGTGTAACTTCTTTCTTTAGTTATATAATTTAAGGTTATATTTAGAATCTGTGACTATTTCTGTCATTTTAATATAGTGACCCTTTATATAGAAAGTTGCTAATTAATATTTCCATCTTCCAGTATCTAGAAAATTGCTTGTTCTGAATCATTAAGGTTAAACATGAAAAATCTGTATATGTGTTTGAAACTAGTAGAAAATAAGAATTAGACTATAGAAATGAATCCCTAGAACTGTTTTTTCTTAAGTGCCGTTTGTTTAGAACTTTGTGACCATTTGTATTTGTAAATTTGACAGACTTTAGAAAGAGAAAATACAGTAAGCTGGACTGATGAATAAAGTGTGAATAGAAGTAATACCAGTTTCCCAGATGTGTTGACATGTATTTGCATATGTTTGAAGAAAATACACAGGTTAAATTTTTTTCCTTAGAAGTTTTTTTTTTCCCTGAGAAGTTTTATCCATAAAAATGGATGAATATTATTACAGCAAAAAGATGAAGCAAGATAGTTTCCATTTCTTAAAACAACTTCCTTGTGTCCATAGCATATGCTGGAGTATTAATTTTTAAAATTTTATTTGCATTTAGTTCCTGTTATTCTATTTAAAATATCTGCTATATAAAGATTATAAAGATACTGTTTTTTCCCTTGGATGATATTTGGATTGGAGACATTGAAATAAATGAGTAGTGAGAATTTGTGGGGCTATGGTTTCTTGATTTATTGTTAATCATTAGGTTATTTTATATTGCATTTTTATAATTTATTACAGAGTTAATTTCAAGACTAATCTATAGATGTTTATAATAATAATACTAGATTGTTTCTTTCTACATTAAGAAATAACCAATTATTCAATTATTTCCAGTGGTCTTTTTGTGTTCTGTGTTTCCAGGCGGGCACATGAACGCCCCCCACCCCATCCACATAGGATGCACCCAAATTATGGTCACGGGCATCATATTCATGTGCCTCAGACTATGTCCTCACATCCTCGACAGGCTCCGGAGAGATCTGCCTGGTCAGTATCTTGTTTATTTCAGAGCTGTGATCAGTTTCTTGTGGTAGAAAAGGTTGGAAGAGAGACTTTGTAGGGTAAGGGTAATGTGGGGACTTGCCTGGTGGTCCAGTGGCTGAGACTGGACTTTCAATGCAGGGAGTCTGGTTTCAATCCCTGGTCAAGGAACTAGATCTCACATACTACAATTAAGAGTTTGCATTCTGCAAGTAAAGATTCCACATGTCACAACAAGATTGAAGATCCTGAGTGTTACAAGTAAGACCTAGCACTGCAAATAGCTAGATATACAAATTTTTTTTTTTAAGGATAACACAGAGAAACTGAATTCCAGTTTAGCTGTGATTCACTGTCTCTGGGTGAGTCATAAGAGACTTGGGGAGGAAAGAGTTGCAGCTTGAGTTCTAGGGCAGGGAACCCTGTCAAACTGGAGTAGAGCTTTTTTGTTGTTGGTGTTTCTCAGAGATCTACCATCAAAGTAAAACCCCTAAATTTTTCATAACTTCTTTATCCAGCACCCCCACCCTTGTACTCATGTTTTTTGTACCTCCCTTAACCCCTGCTATTGACAAGGGAAATCCAGCCTGGATCCTCCAGGCTTGAGTTGTTTCCTAGAGAAATGGAGGCAAATTTGCTTTAATTTTCTTTCTGAATCTGTTGTCTGTAGGTAGTTATTGAGATCTTGATCCACAATGACTTTTCAGACAAAATATAAAATGAGAATAAATAATTGAGTATTTGATATTTACCAGTTTTACTTTCTAAAATTTTGTTTACCCTTGCTTTATAAGGTATAGAAGTGTTTACTCTTCGAATTATCCTTGATGCCAACAATCCAGAGGCACTATCCAACAAACAAAAGACCTGGGAGCAACATTCATATAAACCAAAAAAGTAAACTCAATTGTATTTGCTTCTCATGAAAAATCAGACTTTTAGATTGGAAGGAAACTTAGGGACACTCATTGTATGTCCTTCGTTTGTAAGGATAGAAGTACCTGGATACAAATGCCTTGCTCCTCATGGTCACAAAATTGAACCTTTGAATTTTAGTTTCTAAAATGAACTTGAAATTATTAGTTATATCTTTGGGGCTAACTTATCTTTTTTTCTCAGCTAAGTAAGATAAGAATCTTCAGGTGACATTAAAAAATGTAAACATACTCCTGCATTTCTATTGATAGTAGACACTGTAAGGATGTCTAACATTTAAACTGTTCTCTTTTGTCAGGGAACTGGGAATTGAAGCTGGAGTAACTGCAGCTACTTACACACCTGGAGCGTTGCATCCTCACTTGGCCCATTACCATGCACCACCTCGGCTTCATCACTTGCAGTTAGGAGCTCTACCTTTAATGGTAAAATAGGAAGATTTCAAAATTCTAACATAGTTGCCTTCAAAAACTGTTCTTCCTTTTCTAAATTATTTTTTGGAAATATTTTTAATGTATTAGTTGTTAATAGGTCAGTAGAGGATTAGAATTATTATTATTAGATTGAAATTGTGCTATAAGAAGATGCAGTAGAATATGTGTTTGTATTTGCAGTGGTACATATACTCTTCTTGATGTAAAAAATGACATTTTTTTCCTTTTATATCGACATGACAATCTTTATCCGCTTTCAGTGGGGCATGTGCTTTATCATCATACATGCTAATGGGTCTGTTCTAATGCATTCATACTTTATTTTCTGATCAGTAGAAAAACGATACTAATTGTAACTGATTTGAACATATTCAGATTTTGTTAACACCAGTTTGAGTTCTAAAGAAAATTCAGCAAAAATTGAGTTTGCTTTTCACATAATACATATTGCATAGTACAGAGAAGTGAGTAGTTTTGTAGGGTTAGAAGTATTACAAAGAAGGTTTCCAAGACACTTTACTATACATGCAACTTCTAAGCAAGCTTTGGAATAGAGAATGGTGCTCTTAAACTGGCTACATCATGTAAAGAGCTTTCAGATAGCATAAGCACAGGGAAATCCTAGTTGCTGTTTCTAGATCTTAGGGGTGAAGGTCACTCAGCAATGAAATACATGCCCTGCCAGGAAACTAGAAATTAGACTCCATTGAAAGAGGAATGTCTTGATCATGTTTATGTTGTTAGAATGATTTAATCAAATTGTACCTAAATAGACCATCTCTTCAGTTGTGTGGAAAATAGGTTTCATGGTGGGAGGAAGGACACATTATAGTAGAAGAGATGAAAGTTGATGAATGCTTGAACAAGGGCAGTGGCAGTTGACCTATAAAAATGATGGACTCTGTTTGAGTAATATTTAAGATGATTCCGAGATATCTAGCTTTGGTTGTTAGGTGTATGGCGCTGCCATTCACTAATTTGGAGAATATTAGATGATGATTTAGGGAAGAGGTTAGGTGAGTTAGATTTTGGACATATTGAATCTGAGATACATGTATGTCAGGGTGGACTGTCCAGTAGGAAGTTGGGTTTATGGTCTGAATCTCCAAAGAATAAACTGGTCTTTGAATTAAAGATAGGTTGTGATATGTCAATATAAAATATTACATGTATCACTTGTCTGTCATATTACATGAATCCATGGAAGAGGATTAGATTTCTAAGAAAAATGTGCAGACTGATGAGAGATTGAAAGAACCTTGGCAAATAATAATACTGTATTTAAATGATAATACTGTATTTCAGGGCCTCCTGTGTGACTCAGTGGTGAGAGGAACCTGGCGGGCTACAGTCCATGTGGTCACAAAAGAGTCAGACACAACTTAGTCAGACACAACTTAGCAACTAAACAACAACAACAACTGTACTTCAAACAAATAATTCCAAGAATTGGCTAGGGTAGTTGAGGAGAAACAAAGTTAGAATAATGTCAAAATAACATGGTCAGTAGTGTTTCATCACAAAAAAGTAAAGTTTGAAAAATGTTGAAGGCATTTGGCATTAGAGTGGTTTTTGGCAGCTTTTGTCAAAGTGATTTCACTAATGGTGAGGGATGGAGGTTGGGATGCCTCTTAGATCACAGTAAGATAGGGAAAGTTAAAATATGTGGGAACTACTTGCCTAATAAACTTGGCTGTGAAGGGAAAGTGGGAAATTGCGTTGGCATTTGGTCCAGGATTGATTCTTGCTTGGTGGCTCAGATGGTAAAGAATCTGCCGGCAATGCAGGAGACCTAGGTTTGATCCCTGGGTAGGTACAATCCCCTAGAGAAAGGAATGGCTACCCACTCCAGTATTTTTGCCTGAAGAATTCCATGAATAGAGGAGCCTGGCGGGTTCTAGTCCATGGGGTGGCAAAGAGTCGGAGACGACTAAGTGACTAACAGTCTCTCACTATTAGGATTAGAGAACCTGGGTTTGGAGAAACATGAAGGTAATTTTAGGTTTAAGACAAAACAGGGTAACATTAGGAAGGACTTGTTTGAAGATATCCAGGAAAAGGGTGGGTAGCAGTTAAGGATGGTCCAGGTTGGGGAAACAAGAGAAGAGGGGAGCAAATGATAGAGCTTACCTTTGGGTAAGAGAAAGAGGAAGCTTATCCCTAAAAGTTAGAGAAAGAAGGCTAGGGAGGGTTACAGGAGAAGTGCAGCTTTAAGTAACTTGGAAGGCAGAAGTTCCTTTCTGATTTTTTCATTTCTCTTGGAGATGTGTAGGAAGATAGGTTATCTGCTTAGAGCTGGATACTATTGATCTTGATTATAAGGAAAGTTGCAGATACTTAAATAATAGGCTACTTAAAGGGTAGAAATTATTGCTTATTTTAAATTCTTTTCCATGTGTGAACTGTGTTTTAAAGTTATAAAACATGCTAGAAGTATATTATGATTTAGTGGAAGCCAAATAAGTCTGGAGATTTGTTTATAAAAATGCAAGAATGGCCTCAGAATATCCCCTTCCTAACACTACGGTCAGCTCTTGTTATTCATGGTAGTTAATGTACTATAGAGTTACTGTGAATTGAACCATTATTGAACCATTATTCCCAGGGTGAATATAGCCCTAGGTTATTGCAAGCCTCCAGTCCCAACAACCAATGCATAACCTTGTTTTAATGTATTTTTCTGTTTAGAGACAACTTATTTGATATATACTGTTGATTCATTGACATTGAGCACATGGCCAAGCTTATGACACCATAACTCATGCCTGAACGAAGCTTATGTACACATATTTTCTCCATAAGGCACATCACAGCCTTCTTGCACTTAGGAACCCTAGCTAACAATTAAGCATTATGTTTGGGGATCAGTTTAAACAACAAAATGACATATAAAAAGTACAAAAATGTGAAAAACATTGCACTTAATACATTGCAAAAAAGACACTTGTTTATACAGTGTAAGAACTGAAACGAGTGGGCAGGGTCTTGTTCTTCCTCAACTGGGAGCACGTATTGGGCAGCTCAGATTTTTTTGCTGCTCTGTGCAGGTCTGTGAATGACTTGTGAGAGCACAACTATTGATTTTGGAGTTACAAACAAATTCTGTCAAGTAGGTGAGCTCACAAATAAGATTGTGAAGATTGACCTTAGCTAACAAAAAATTAAAAACTGTTAAAACCTCACTAATAGAACCAAACCAAAAGAGCAGCCAAAGGTACCTTTGGCTATTTGGGGGTTAGAGAAAGGGAAATAAAACTTTTATCCTGAAATTAGGTTTTGTTAGAAAATTTTATGCATTTCTATTTCTTAATACTGTACAATAAAGCTCTCTGAAATTGACCAGATCTTATAAAAATTTTACTCTTTGTATGTTTAGGCTACTAAGAGCATCATTCTTAGGTTTGAGTATTCTCTACTTAGGATTCTTTGTGCAAAATAAATCAAGTAGAAGAGAATCTGTTGTCTCATGGAACTGCTGTTTCTATTTTTTTCCTTCTGATGATAATTTAAAAGTTATTATAAACGAGATCATTTTTGAAGAGGAACCTGTTAATGGAATGCCTTTTTTGGAGTTATGTATTCTTCCTGAAGTTGATTTTTTTGAGAAGCTAGATGGAGAAAATTGAATATCTGAATTATTCGATGGTAGCAGTAAAACTTGAGCCTGTTCTTAATTCATTTAGCTTACCTGTTCTCTTAAAATAGGTTCCTGACATGGCAGGCTATCCTCACATTCGTTACATTTCATCAGGCTTGGATGGAACATCATTCAGAGGTCCTTTCAGGGGCAATTTTGAGGTATGTAATAGCATTAATGATATTTGCCACAGTATCTGTAATGCAAAAAAAGAGTATATGTAATATTAATAGTTATAACTATAGGATTGCTGCAGTGACTGGGGATCAAAGGGCAGTAACACATCTATATTGCCTCTAGGGATTGTTATAGAAAGATTTATAAGTAATATTAATCAGCATCAGAAATTACCCGAATATTGAAGAAGCGTAATTGAAAATATCTAATAATAGAAGAATGTAGAAATTTATTAAATAAATATAAATATCAGATAAAGAACCATACCATTAAATGGGCAAGAAAAACCTTAATGTTTTTTTTTTTTAAATAAATGCAGTACGTGGAACTGTGCTCAATGTTTGTGGCAGCTTGGATGGGAGGGGAGTTTGAGGGAGAATGGATACATGTATGTGTATGTGCCAAGTCCCTTTGCTGTTCACTAGAAACTATCACAACATTGTTAATTGGCTCTACCCCAATACGAAATAAGAAGTTAAAAAATTTTTAAATGCACTAGACTTATATGCTTTACTGAACCTGTGTGATGCTTGTAATACATTAGAATTTAGTGATAACATTTTTTGTATAAATTTACTCTTTGCAATATATCTGGGAAATAAGTACTATCAGTTTTTTGACTAGTACATTGTTTTTGATAGTTCTGATATTCTCCTGGGTGGATGAATATAATTTATTTAACCATTCTTCTAGAAAAACATTTAGGTTTTTAAAATATTTTTCTACTATAATCAATGCCTAATGCTTTTTGACTAAGTTTTTAGAGAAACATTGCTATAGAAAAAGAAACCTAAGTAATTCAGTTTTTTGCTAAATATCTGAATTTTTCTGGAAGAACAGATCATTTAAATATGATTAATGTTTTGTTTCTTCATGTCAGTTTGGAAGTTGGAGTCAAGAGCTATTGTTTGACTTGTTTCCCTATTTTACTGCAGTGACTTCATCTTCTAGATGCATACATGCTTACTGACTTATATAGGATCATGTGGTAATACGTTGCTCTAGTCTACAAAGATAACTTTGCCATACCACTTTAGTTAGCTGACAAATAATTACAAACAGCCATTTGCCTTACCATATATGGGTTTTTGAATACTCTATTTACATTGCATGTTTATAAATATGGTACTTTATTGCTTTTACAATACTGACTGTGCTGCTCAAGGAATAATCATACTGGCTTTTAATACTAGTTATTCTTCTTTAGGAACTTATTCATTTAGAAGAAAGATTAGGAAATGTTAATCGTGGAGCATCCCAGGGGACAATTGAAAGATGTACATATCCACATAAATACAAAAAGGTAAGCATTTATTGTGTGAAACATCTACATTATTGTTGAAATGCATAACATTTAATATCATGGACTTTTTTCAAGTTTGTGGAGTCTATCAACTTTTTTTTTTTTTATTAAAACAATATATGCACATGGTTAAAAAAATCTAAAACTGTAAATTGAAGTATGTTACTCTAATGATCCTAGTTTTTCTTCCCAGAAGAAAAATCATGCTTAAAGATTTCTTAGGTAATCTTCCACGCATTTTTAATAATGTGCATATGTATATATTTTTTCTTCCACTTTTAAAAATAACTCAAAGGGGATAATATACATACAGTTTTTGTCCATTTTCTTTTTATTCTATATCAGCACCTACAGATGACCCATATTCTTATTAATAGCTTATACAGAATTCCATCCTATAGTGGTACCATAATTTAGCTAGTCAGTTGTTTGGATGGGAACTTAATTGACCTACATTTCTTATATTCTACCCTTATATTCCTTATGTAGTGTTACATCTAGAAGATGTGGAGTAGGCATGTTAAATAAATTTCTTTCAACAAACTGTTATATACTATAGAGACTAATGAAGTGTGAAAATGACTGTTCATTGTATTTTTCACCCTTTTCCTAAGAGTATTAATGGGGTATTACCATTAAATGTAAGTCATCTCAACTGTTTAAGCTAAATACTGTAACTGACATTCATTTTTGAACATTATCTGAAACATTTATTAATGAAACGAAGTTTATCTGGCTGTGCCTCATGATGGGACAAAATAGTATATATGATCCTGATTGTGGGTTAGAAATGATAGATTTCAGACAATGAATTTCTGTTACTTTTAATTTTGATGCTGATTACTTAAGGGTCTTAAGAGTACACTTCGTTGATAATAGTCACTTAATTCATCCTTTAATTCATGGCAGTTTTATCTGGGAAATATATTGTGGGTGAATGTATGGTTTTGTTTTGTTTTGTTTTTAAAATAAACACGAACTTTACTCAGTTGTTCAATAATGTCATCTCTACTAACAAGGTAACAACTGATTGGTTCTCACAGAGGAAACTGCACTGCAAACAAGATGGGGAAGAAGGGACTGAGGAAGACACAGAGGAAAAATGTACTATCTGTTTGTCTATTTTAGAGGAAGGTGAAGATGTGAGGTAACTAAACACTATCTAAAATTCATTGTCAAAACTGTACAAGAGATTTTATTTGAGGGGATTCTCTTGTCGCCCAGTAGTTAGAACTCTACACTTTGAGCTACGGAGGGTGCTGACTCAGTCCTTGGTCGGGGAACTAATCTCCCACAGACCTGCAACACAGCCAAAAAAGAGGAATTTTATTATAAAGCAGATCAGAAACCAAATAAAGATTACTTTAGCGTACCCTGTTACCAGTCTCTGATATGTAGAATTGCCTTGTAATAGTGAATTAAACAGTAAAAAGATTAAGTTTCTGTATTAACATCAAAGAGAAATATACTACCTGTTTTAGGGCCACACCAAGACTTGACCAGGGAGATTTTGTGGTCAGTATTGTCTTATCTGAATCTTGCAGGGCAGAGAACTTGAGAGGTGAGACACTTTGGAGGCCAAAACATGTTTATTAATGTTTCTCTAAAGCTTAAAGAGAGGGATCCAGATTAGCTCCATGCAGTTTGTTTTACATCATCTTTTATAAAGTGATCTTGTCCTAAAATTTCCTCTCAATTTGTAGACTGTTTTCTTCTTGCAACTATGTGATTTAGAAAGTATTATTATGCTAACCAAATATTTTAGACTTTCCTTTTTATAATCTGTTAAGTAACTGTTTTGTTCCTATTCTGTTTTTTCTAATGTAACATAATCCCATATGAAGCAAGTTCTATAACATATAACACCTGTATCATATTTCTTCAGTTGACTAAGAGAGAGAGAAAAGTTATAAACTTTTATTGTCTACTATATCACATAGAAGGTTGTTTGAAGCTGTTTGAAGGTTGTTTGACTTATTTCCAACAAAGATTTATAAATATAGATAATTGTTTTTTACAGTATTGACAATACTGTGCAGGGAGAAATTAGAACACCTCTTTTTAGCTATTTTTACAAAATATGAATTCTGAAATGTATGACAACTCAACAGTGGTGGAAGTTGAAATTGACACTTAAGTCAGTAACCTTTACTCTACTGTTAGATTTAACATTAGCATGTTAGTGCACGGAAGCTTTATTTCTCTATTTCTAATTGATACTATAGTGTACTAAAGCATACATATCTGTTTAATCTGCTTTTAAAAGAGTAGCATAGTATGATATAACATGCAAATGATCTCATGAAACAGTATTATTAACCTTTAATCAATCATGTACTTTAATGTGTTAAAGAGATGCTCTAGACAGAAAATAATATTGCATATTATGACATTCCTTAATTAGTATGATATGGCTGCTGTATGTTTATATAATTCTTTTGAGAGAATTAAGTGAGAATTTTTTTGAAAGTGCTTCATAAATACAGTGATTTGATATTAAAAATATATTTACAGCATTATGTTGTGGCAATATTATACATTGGCAGCTCATGTATAGAAACAAAGCTGGAATAATTGTTACTGTAGTTGTTGTTCTTAAAATTCTTGAGATTTTATATAATTTGATTCTTTAGCTGTGATATTTAATTATCTTGGTCATTAATACATTACATTGCCCAAAGTATTAATTTAATGTAGGTATATAATCTTGAGTAGGGAGGGTTTTTTTGTTTCTTTTTTTTAACAGAAGAGAAAATGTTTAGTAACTTCAGAACATTACTGAAGTATTGTATGTATCATTTGTTTAAATGCCACTGCACTTGTCTTAAAATTAACTTTTGCTTTTTGTTTTGTTTGCTTATGATAGACGCCTTCCCTGTATGCACCTTTTCCACCAAGTGTGTGTTGACCAGTGGTTGATCACCAATAAGAAGTGCCCCATTTGCAGAGTGGACATTGAGGCCCAGCTGCCAAGTGAAAGTTGACACCATGTTTCAGAACTCTTACCCTCCCTCTCATTCCCACCTTCCTGGTACTGCAGTCAACCAAAGATGGCATGACTTACCTGCGCAGATTCGGAAGCCTTGAGCTTAGGAGTGCTGGCTCTGCTACATGGTACAACTAATGCTAGACCCACAGTTTATGTATACAGTTGATTTCGATGTATTTATAAAAGCTTTTTTTTTCTAGATTTGACATTTTTCCTGTATCATTTTACTGTATTTTTGCATGGTTCCTTGTATTGCATTTCTTTGCACATATTATGGGCTTGTGACCCTAAACTTGCAGGCAAGATTAGCTGCTTTAGTAAGTAGAATTTTGTGGTCTTTTTGTTTTTTACATAGTACCAGGTCTTGAGAATTATGAATTTTTTTTATCCATTACTAACGTTTAATTTAATCAATCATGTACTTTAGTTTAATGTATAAAGATCCTCTAGAAGATGATAATATTGTGTATTAAGACATTCCTTAATTAGGACAAAATGGCTGCTGTATATTTACAATATGGAGTTCTGAGTTCAATACCATCCTTGATACCGGGAACAGAATACAAACCATTTTCAATCAGATGCAGGTGGTACTCACATCACCAGAGTGATCAATAGAATTCTTCTTGGTGTATCCTTTTCCTTTTAGCACAATACAGATAGAGTTGAATATTAATACCATACATTTAGACTGCTGTTCCTATTGTATTTATCTTTTTCCTACATCGTTTAGAACTTTATTTCCCAGATTCAATTTTTGCTGCTGTGAAACAGCTCTGATGAACACTAAATATTAATTTCAATTAGCTGGATTGTATATACTTGCAGATTTAACAAAATTTTAGGGAAATTGAAGACATGTAGAATTTCATTCAGTCTTCTGCTAAGCACGCATAGTAAAGATATCTGCTTACATTGAGTTTTGTAAACACATTTAGTCAGGATTTAGAATTGCAGTCATCGGCAGGTATCTGTGCATTGATAGATCTTCTAAAGGTCCCAGAATCACTTTTAAAGGGATTTTTATTAGTTTAAAGATAAATAAAGTCAGCTGAATCTACATGTCTCTTGTTTTATTTCTCTTTAAGCTTGAAAACAGTAAATCTGCAGATACTGTGAGGCACAAATTATACTGTCAACCTACTGTTGCTCTGGTTTTAGACTCCCACTTCATACATTACCAAGAGTCGATCACTGATTTAAAAATTTTAATTTCTATAGTTAAGATTTACTGCATAATATAGAATATTAAAGTTAAGTTAATGTACTAACATTTCTCTTTTGGAGAAAGTTTTAATCCACTTCAGGATGCATATTATCAAGATACTTTCATATACAGGATAGCCTAATTTTATTTGTCTAAATATGCTTAATATGCCCCAGATTGCAAATGCATCAGTCAGTAACATCACTGTCTGTATGTGGAAGACATGTTCCCATGGATCATATGTGAAGATGTCAATAAGCTTGCATTAAGCCACCTGCTTTGTAAGTGGATTGATTAATAAATAACTTATATTTCTATTGTCTTTGTGTTTCATAATTCACTTTTATAAAACTGCCTACATTGAACATTATGGGATTCAAAAACAATGATCTCACTCAGGTTGACATTTGCCTGATTTTGTTTGTATTCATTCAGTTATGGGTATTTGCCCTTTTTATGTATTAGTAAATGTTACACTGAGTAATTGTCAGTATCAACATGCTTCAGCATAGTATGTGTTAGAGATCAAGGGTGGATTATGGTTAAGAAAATTGGATATAAAATAACACAATAAGAATACTAGCAGCAGTTGTAGAAGGGTTGTGGGAGGGGTGGCAGAATGAGAGAGAAAAAGAGAGACTTTGCCATCTTACTGAGGAGAAGAGCTAGTAGCCTATATTCTGGTAGCCTAGATGTAGGACTTTAGCAGTGGAAAAGCCATGGTCCAGGCCAAGGGATAAGATGGGGAGAATTCTATACAACGGAGTCCTCTTGATGCTCCCCAAAACACAAATACATATAGATTTCTCTATTTTTTATATTACATCAGATTTAGATGCACAACTAAATTGTTGATTTGTTTAACATTTGCTACTGATTTTTTAAAAATATAAACTATCATTACTTTAAAATACTTTATGCAAGTATTTGTGGCATATACCTGAACTATGTAGGAGCTTATTAAGCTACTACAGTTACAGGAAAATGTGATTAGTGATGAACCAAACATGGAAGGAAATTTTTAGTATTTTACCTTTTTGTGCTTTGTTTTGGTGTCTTCCATATCCTGCTACATCTTATGTCAAAGTGAAAATTTCAGTGATAGCTATCCAAATTCTTTGAAACTAAAATCCTTTTGTCAGCAAATCCTAATGTTCATTTTTGTTAAAATGGAAGTGATAAAGTGATACCTGAAGCATTTTTCTTATCTGGTAATTTTTAGCTGCTAGCATGTTTCATCATTTGAATCATAACAATTTGACAGGAAACTAGTTCTGTTTTAAAAATGCTATTAATATTTGTAACAGATTAAAATGTCGACTCTGTGGACATTTCATTATTAGTTTTTCATAAACGAGAATAACTTAGTTTTGTAGAAAATGCAGAAATTACACTGACAATTACTCAATGTAACATTCACTAATGTAGAAAATGTAGAAAAAATTGATTTTTTAAAAAAATTATTTTATATTGGAGTAGGGTTGATTTACAATGTTTTGTTAGTTTCAGGTGTGCAGCAAAGTGATTCAGTTATGTGTATTACATGTATCTATTCTTTTTCCAAGTTCTTTTTCCATTTAGGTTACTACTGCATCCTGATTTCTAATTTAACTTCCAAAACCTCTGGAAACACAGTAAATTTTCTTGCTTATTCAAGACTTCACATGTCACAATATTGCATGTATTAAGGTTGAAATATTTTCTCTCAGTTACAGATTTCACTCATTTCCTTAGAAATAAGAGTTATGTCCAAAACATGTTTCTTTTAAGAAAAATAAATGTTACCAATTCTGTGGTTGTGCCTTCTGGACACAATCTCATCTCTCTCTTCTGTATCCTGTACAGATTCACAGGCTATACAGTTGATCTTTCGAGATTTTGAAAAGAATATAGTCTTTGGTGTCAGACAGACTTGGGCTTTGAATTGTGTAACTCTAAAAAACGTAAGCTTTCTGAACTCCATCATTCTTACCTATAATAGAAATAGTTTGTTATTAGAATTGAATGAGATGAGTATAAAGAACTTTGCATATAGGATATACTTAAGTTCTCCCAGTGCTTGCTCCGTCCCACCCCACCACCCAGATTCGCTTGCCCTTGATAACAAATAATAGCAAAGGCAGGTGCTGGACCATAGATCAGTGTTTACTGAAATCTTTCTCTTACTGAGTCCCACCAACTGATTACTAGATAAGAATGAGCAATCATTTTCAGCCCTTCTCTGATAGGTTGGCCTTTTTTCTTCTACCAGAGGAATGGAAGATTCAGAGTACGTGTGCTTTCTTCCTTTGCCTTGAAAGCACATGAGGCACATAGTTGCCCATAAAAACCATCTAATGCTGTGTTATAGGCTACTGCCAGTGGATCAGAGTTGGCACAGGATATGAAACCATTCACCCTTTCTGAGCTAAAAGAAAATAAATATTATGGAGAAATTAACAGTTAGAATTCCTCAATCTCTACTAATTTCCCCCCTATCAAATTGTGTTATATAGAAATCTGGTGCCCATTAACTGTTAACTGAGCACACTACTGAGCTGCGTATGTTGTTGTATTAGCTGCTTCTAAGCTTTATTCTTAGGCTGAGAGCTGTGACTGTGTAGAAGGTGTAGGTTTCCAGGGGAAGCTTTTGATTAGCCCAGACAAACTGCATGTCTCTTGTAATCCTTTATCATCACTACAGAGAATGGTTCACTTCAATTCAGTCGCTCAGTCATGTCCAACTCTTTGCAGCCTCATGGACTGCGGCATGCCAGGCTTCCCTGTCCGTCACCAACTCCCAGAGCTTGCTCAAACTCATGTCCATCAAGTCAGTGATACCATCTAACCATCTCATCCTCTGTCATCCCCTTCTCCTCCTGCCTTCAATCTTTCCAAGCATCAGAGTCTTTTCCAATGAGTCAGCCCTTCACATCAGGTGGCCAAATTATTGGAGTTTCAGCTTCAAGCATCAATCTTTCCAGTGAGTATTCAGGACTGATTTCCTTTAGGATTGACCAGCCTGAACTCCTCCTTGCAGTCCAAGGGACTCTCAAGAGTCTTCTCCAACATCACAGTTCAAAAGCATCAATTCTTCAGCACTCAACTTTCTTTATAGTCCAATTCTGACATCCATACGTGACCACTGGAAAAACCATAGCTTTGAATAGACAGGCCTTTGTTGGCAAAGTAATATCTCCGTTTTTTAATATGCTGTCTAGGTTGGTCATAGCTTTTCTTCCAAGGAGCAAGCGTCTTTTAATTTCATGGCTGCAAACACCATCTGCAGTGCTCCTTGGAGCCCAAGAAAATAAAGTCTCTTACTGTTTCCATTGTTTCCCCATCTATTTGCCATGAAGTGATGGGACTGGATGCCATAATCTTCGTTTTTTGAATGTTGAGTCTTAAATCAGCTTTTTCACTCTCCTCTTTCAATTTCAAGAGGCTCTTTTGTTCCTCTTTAGATCTACATATCTGAGGTTATTGATATTTCTCCTGGCAATCTTGATTCCAGTTTGTGCTTCATCTGGCCTGGCATTTTGCCTGATGTACTCTGCATTGTTACATAAGCAGGGTGACAATATACAACCTTGATGTACTCCTTTCCAAATCTGGAACCAGTCTGTTGTTTCATGTCCTGTTCTAATGGTTTCTTATTGACCTACATACAGATTTCTCAGGAGGCAGGTAAGGTGGTCTGGTATTCCCATCTCTTGAAGACTTTCCACAGTTTGTTGTGATCTACACAGTCAAAGGCTTTGGCATAATCAAGAAATAAAACAATGTTTAGATTCACTAATTTTCATTGT